TTTAAAATATTAAATTCAAAAGGCTTTAAGAGCTTCACAATGTAGGATAATTTGGAGGGAGAGATCCTGTGCTTCATTATCTGAGTTGTCCTGAGCCAATGAGCTCACCATGCATGTCTGGAAGACTTGTATGAGGCTGTAGTGAGAACATTTTCCTTCATCTAGTCCTTAGGGCCTGAAATGCATGTGGTTAGAGGGGCAATGCAATTTTCACTTCCTTCTCCACTCATCTGAACTTCACCAAGTAGCCTACCTCACTGTGTGAAGCAAAGAAGTCTTCATAGGTGATTTTTTTTCCATCTAAGTCAAGGAGGACGTGCTTCTGGGATTCTGTGAGGGTCACAGTGCTACTCTGGTGTGCATTTTCTCTGTTCTTTTCTTAGTGATGACTGATCCCTGCCCCTGGAGAAAGTGATTCGATTCTTTGGCAACAGTTTAATAGGTTCAGATGCTAGAACATATTCTGAAGCTACCCAGAGGCAGGAAGACCTTGTCCTAACTGGAATCTTGATAATCATACCCTTTAACGCAGGACTTCTCTGAAAATGATCCCAAACATGACTATATCTGTGCTCAATGGAATGTTCTAACGTCAAAATTCATGCTGCTTCTATTCCACTGCTGTCTCCACCATGTGCCTCCTAACTTCCATTGTAATTCTACCCTCCCCTTAGTCTTTAGCTGCTGCCCTGCCCCTTCAGTCCTGCTTTGGAAAACTGTTTAGGCTGTACATTAATGATACAGCTTGAATGACTATGCCTACTACTGCCCTACACCTAGCAGCCACTTTGATGCATGAGCTGTCTTAACTGGCTTATATTGACTTGAACCATACAGAGATTCAGTTAAAGCTAGATTCTACTACCTGATGTAGAAGCTTGGTGCTGAGTTTGGGTGGACCTTCGTCTGTGTGTACTGCTGCCTATTATACTATCAGGAAAGAGCCATATCCACTGGTACTTAACAAAAATCCCTATTGACTAACCAGTTAAGTTAGCAAGTGAATGAGGTGGGGGGTAGGGGAGTAGCACAAAAAAGGGGCAGTGTTTGCCTGGAGATGCTGTGAGAGCAGTCCTGTGGGAGCTTGGGGTGAAAGAGTTTGTGTGTACCAGTTCCATGCAGGAGAATCCCAAGGAGAAGGGGAAATGGGGAGGCAATGGGGGCATCTTAAATGTATGAGGGGTGAAGTAGAAAAATATCTATCCTATTTAAATATAGGCAAGCCTCACTAACTCAGCCTAATTAGAGGAAAGCCAGTCTGAATCATGGAATATTTTAAATGCATTTTTATTACTTTCAAGCATTGGACATGCTAGTAATTCAAAATAGACTAACAGCATAGAACAGCACCTCGGGGAAGGGGCTTTAAGAATCATTTGTAATTAGCATATCAATTATTTGTACGTAAGTGGATGTGCACAAAGTGCATAAAAAGTTTATTCTCCTAAGTAGGACAAGCATTCCCCAGTGCAATCCTGTTTACACTATTAATTTGCTTAGCCAGCCCTTTTTGTGCCAAGATAGATGTATGTAAGAAATGCTTATTTCCTCGGGGAAGAATGAATCGCTTCCCTGTGTTTAGTCCAGTAACTAAGAAGCTGAGCGCCACTTGATTGGTTTGGGATTTCCAGGATATGGAGTTTTGAATTTGCATACAGACTAGAGAGATTTCATATGGAGAAGATCTGGCAGCCATTGCCAGAGACCCAGTTTCCCCATCTGGATTTCATTGAAGTGATCTGGATTTCATCAAGCAACAGGACACTGATCCTAAATGATCCACCAGACACTCCAACATAGACATGTTTAAAATACATCCTGCCCGGGAAAAATAACTGCCAAAATATGATAAGTTGGAGTTACTCTATGTGCAGTACTTAAAAGTAATAAAAATGCATTTCTTTTTAAGTCCCGCAAAAACCATGCAATATCAAGTTAATGATGAAAATCAATCCCCAAACTTTTTCTTGCACACCTCATTGTGTGACAGCATTGCACAGATTTCCAATCATCTGGGAGAAGATATTATATTGTGATGAGCTGTACCAGGTGCTAACTATATGGCAGGATTTCAGCTTTGAATCTTAGTGAGGCCCTCCCGAGTAAAAAAGGGTGAGGGAAGGCCGAGGGGCATGTTTACTGTTAACAAGTCATTATTGTCCACATAAGTTTGCAAAGCTGTGCAATTGCATTGGAAAAGAGGTTTTATAGGGCAGGAAGAAATATGATTAGGAAATGAGAAGCAGAGATATCTGCCTATATTTTACCCTTCACAAATTAAACTATGCTCTAGGTAAATTGTGAATTCTTCAAGGCTTAGATAGAGAGTAGAAACAAGTGTGGAGACCCTAAACATGAGCAGTAAATATACACACCAATACTGCAACTACAGTTTGGAATAGCTCCAGCTCTCCCCTTTCCCCCAAGGGCATCACTATCCAGGGTCTGCAAAGGCCAAATAGCTCTTTGGCTTCCAATCGGATTTTTTGCCTAAGAAATCAGAGAAGTTGGTTTCAATTTTAATAATATATTCTTCCAACCTGTATATAACAGAAAGGCACTTGTGTTTCTGCCCCCTCTTAAAGTGAATTTTGTGTTTGGTGAAAGGTAATAGATTGGCAGCACTGGAAAATGAATTACTGTATTCCCAGAACAGGTATAACCAGGCAGTGACACTATGAAATTTCTCTCTGCCTTTGGGGACCATTAGAGTACTACTCAGGAAGTCACTGCTATGGTGTGCTGTGCTGAACTCGACAGTATCCTAGTGGGCTTTAAGAATTAACATAGCACTCGAAGGGCCTGACTTAAGGCCGTTCATTTTTTCATTCAGGGTTATGCAGTGCTTACTATGTGCCTGGTGCTGGGAGAAGGCATTCACAAATGTTGTATCTTTTAATCTCCACAATAATCTGTAAGAAGGAGAATATTATTCTTGTTTTGTAAAGAAAGCAAGGTTCAAAAAGCAAAGCACTCTGTAGCGGACACCATGCACACACTGGATCCAGGCTCTTCCAACTCTGTGCCTGTGTTCTCCCTGAACTACATGCTGTGGAGATTACAAAGGGGGACTGAAGAGACGTGCTCAAACAATATGACACAAAGCTGAATGTAATTTGCACCGTGAGCACTCCTGGTGGTTTCAGAGCAGTGAAATGACCTATCCCAGATCACATAAAGGGCTATTAACACAGTGAGCCTTAGGATTCATATCCTTTTAGTCTTCTAGACGTGCCTCTCTGCCCAGCCCACCACCTGCCCAGATAATGTATACCCTGCTTGCTCGTGGGTCTGGCCTTTCAGAATGAAAAGATCCTGAGAGTCATGGGACTTGGTGACAAAACCATTGGATTCAAATTGGAATTTGTATACTAATTCTAGCTCTGACGATTCAGTTCGGACCACTGGTAGGTCCTTTAATTCTGTATGACTCACTTTTTCTTGTGTGAATGAGAGTGGTTTACTTCCAAGAGGTACAGCAAGAGATAAGTAATAATACACTAAAAATAGTCCACAGCCCTTTCTGTTGCCAAGGTGAAATATATTTAATGAGTAGAAGCCCTTACTACAAGGCCAGCTAGAAAGAGTTACCAATTAGAATCTATGTTTTTATGTAATGGTTTGGAAATGAGATAAACGATATCCCTTTAAAATGCTACAAAGCTTCATCATGAAAATTAAAAGATCAAAAGTTATGTTAGGTTGTTTGTTGGTTGGTGGGCTTGGGGATTTTCAGATTTGGTTTTTCTTTAATAGGTTTATGTGTTTTAGATATCTGAGGGACCAGTACAGCTTGTCCTGTGCTAAAAGCAGAGAAAAAAAAAGCATAGGAAATTGAATGCCTTCTGGATGTGTCCAAGAGGCACCCATGGCCCCCAATGAAATGACACATCATCGTCACTGTAGGGAGCCCCACTCTAATTCCTTCCTCCCACAACTATTTGTAATAGATCTGAAGTCACTGAGGCATTTGCCATATGCTGAGTCCCCTGACAGCTTGAGTCTTTGCAGAATGAGTCAGCAGTACCTGAACTGAGACAGGATTGAAAGAATGGAGAAAACACATATACCTATGGAAAGTTGACTGGCCTGCCTTTGGGGACTGATGAGCGATTCTTTCGGTCCTTCACACAGCCCTCTTCTGAATCCCATTAAATGCAGTGATGTTAGTGTTTATATCTTAGAGAGGAGCTTGGCTGCTGGCAAGAACTTTTCCCAGGCTGACTGGGGAAGCTTAAAGCATTAGTAATACTCTCCCTCTGTGACCGACTAAGAGCTTTGTCAACTCTTAAGTTTCTCCTTTTTTTCATTTCTAGTGAGGGATTCTCTAGATCAGTGCTCCTCAACCTTAATGCTTCGATCCTTTAATACAGTTCCTCATGTTGTGGTAACCCCCAACCATGAAATTCTTTTCATTGCTACTTCATAACTGTAATTTTGCTAGTTATGAGTCATAATGTAAACTTCTGATATGCAGGATACCTGATATTGGACCCCTGGGAAAAGATCCTTTGTTGTGATATGCAGGTTGAGAACTGCTGCTCTAGAGGGTGTTGATTGTACTTGTTAGAAAACATGACAGATGCTTGCCTGGCCGAGCTGAGATACAAGCTAAAGAGTCAGGAGATGGGACCTGCTGGCTGGCAGCCTGTCTCTATCGCAGGCCTGCCTATGCAGACAACTTAGGGTTACCGTGTCGTTCTAGCAGCCATGATCATGACTGTAACAGTCAGTCTGGCATCCCTCTGCCTGGAGGTAAGAATTTTAGAATCTTAATTCCCTAAGAAACCAGTAATAAATACACACTCTCCACTCCCCACAATGCCACCAACACCACTCATCTCATGTCCCCACTCCAGTGCTGGAGGGAAAATGGTACCAGTGAATGGTGTCAAGGGTGCAGAGCAGAAGCTGTGGGTGAATGTCTTGAAGCTTTGGGGGCTTCTCTTTTACCTCCAAGTATCATGTCTGTCATCAACCCTAGCTTTTTTTCTCCTCAGGCTCCAACACCTCCCCCAGATTAAGACCTGCTGAAGTTTCTGTGCCTGCTTCTCCTCCTCATTTGCATAGCCCCCTCTGAAAAACCAGACTGAAGACTGAGGGCTCAGGTTTCTCATCAAGAAAACTGCATTTGAAATGAATGTCTTGTGTGTTTATAAGGAAGTTACTAATGTAGTGTAATGAGATGCCTGTCTCCCCCTCCTTTCTGGGGAAGAGATTTTATACTTTCATAAGAACCTAAAATTAATGATTTACAGTGTAGGAAGTAGCACTGTTACAGCCTTTGGGAAAGGTTTCCCAAAAGCTATCTGGGGTGGCATTTCATTCACTTATTCATTTAATGACTATTTATTGAATGCCTACTATGTCTAAAGTATTGATTCTGTGTTCAAGGAAGTTAGGGGAAATTTTAAAATGTTAGATAGAGATTGATTTTCATATTCACACACATTTGAATAAAATAAAACATAGAAAGTTGCAAGAACCATAAAATTTAGGATGCCGTGGGCATTCAGATGAAATAAATCCTTCAGAAAAGAGCTTAATTAAGGAGGTAACATTTGATCTGGGTTCTAAAGGGTCCCTAATTACTCTGTCTTTACAAAGTGCGCAAATGTGTATGCATATTTATAAAATCTGGGTCAAGTTTGAATATACAGAAATTGCAAGAAAGGATGTTCTGTAGAGAGGGAGCAGTAAGATTAGAGTGGGAAGAAGCAGAGTCGTGTATGGAGAATAGCAGTGGTTTACTTTGCCTGGACTGTAAAGTGAATAAGAGACAGACATTACAAAGACTGGGAAAGAGGGTAGGAACTGCAGTGTGGAGGAGCTCAAATTCATAGCGACAAAAATTTGTGCCATATTCTTGTAAGCATTAGGCAAACTAGTGAAGGTATTAAAATGAGGAAATAATAAAATCAGAGTTTACTTGAGAAAATTAGTACTCAAAAATAATATTCTGAAGTGGCACTCCTGTGTGAAACAAAGTGGGTGACATAGCTGGCAGTCATGGAAGCAGGTAGATTGTAATAATTTAGAGGTTCCACTGTGGTGCCAGGCTGGAGCTCTGCCACTTGACAGATGTATGATACTGTATGGACCCCTAAACTTTCCTGTGCTGCAGTTTCCCCATCTAGAAAATTAGTTTCATGCCACACCTGTCTTATAATCGTTATGAGGATTAAATGTGTTAAACATATCAAATGCATAGAACCATACTCTGCTCTGGGTAATGTCTTCAAAAAATGTTAGCTGCTAGTATTTTCTCCATTCATGAAGGAGATGGAATTTGGGATATCCTTTAAAGGATGACTGTGGCTATAATGTAGACACAGAGAAAGGTGACTTTTAGCCATGAGGCAGCATGTGACAAGAGGCATACTTGTATGAAGATGCAAAATGAGTGAGGTAACCAGTTTGCCTGTGGTATGACATAGCATAGGTCAAGGGGTTATTGAGTAATAGGATTTTAAAAGTAGATCAGGGAATTTGAATCATAACCTAAAGTGGAGGGGCATTGAAGGATTTGGGGAGAGGGCAAGCGACTTGATCAAAATTTTCCCTAAGGAAAATTAACTATTTGGTAGTTTGTGTGAAGGATTGGACAGGGAAGAGACCTGAGTCAAGGCAAGTTGTTAGGAAGCTATTGGTGGACCCACTATGGGTCATAAGGCTGGATTCCAGTGTGCAATGAGAATGAGAGATGCTAATGATAAATAATAGGAGAGGAACAGGGTGGGGGACCTCACAGAGGCTTCATAAATTTGTACATGAGAGGCTGAAGGTGTGACAATCCTTAATAGACACAGGAATTGCAAGAAATAAGATGACAGGTTCAACGTGGTGCAAACGGAGCTGTAAATCACAGCTCCTCTGCACAAGCTGACAGGCTGGTCCCAAAATTTATATGCAAATCCAACCAGCAATAGCCCAAACAGTCTTGAAAAGAAAGGACAAAGTTGGGAAACTCATAGTTTCTAATTTTCAAACTTAACTACTAAGTTACAATAATCAAGACGTATGATCGTGGCTTATGGGTGGTTGTATAGCTGAATGAAACTGAGTTCAGAGATGAGAAATCAACCTCCATATTTATAGTTACATGATTTTATATATCGAAGTCAAGATCACTGAGTGGGACAACTGGATAGCAGCATGTAAAATGATGAAGTTGTATCTTTACACCATATAAAACAGTTCACTTAAATCCAATATAAGTATAAATTCTAAATACTATAAAGCTGTTAGAATAAAACATAGATTATGACCTTGGATTAAGGGGTAGTTTTTTAGATATGAGACCAAAAACACAGGCAACAACAGCAAAAATGAGTAAAATAGACTGTTAAAAGTTAAAACTTTTTTTCTTTTTTCATTTTTGAGATTATAGTATAATTATAACAATACTCCTTTCCCTTTCCCCCTCTAGCCCTCAGTATACCTCCCCTTGCTCTCTTTCAAATTCTTGGCCTCTTTTTTCACTAATCATTATTACATGCATATATGTCCAGTTATACACATAAGTATTCCTAAATATAACCTGTTCAGTCTATATGATTTACTTGTATGTATGTTTTCAGGTCAAATTTGTACTTCAAGTGACACTATCAAAACAGTGTAAAGGTAACCGACAGAATGGGACTGAATATTTGTGAGTCATGTATCTAATAAATGGACTGGTGCTTGGGATATATTGAGAAATATTACAACTCAGTGGTAAAAAGTTAACTCAGTTGAATTTTTTTATTTTTTGAGACAGGGTTTCTCTGTGTAGCTTTGTAGACCAGGGTGGCCTCAAACTCACAGAGATCCACCTGCCTCTGTCTCCTGAGTGCTGGGATTAAGGTGTGTGCCATCACCTCCTGTATCTCAACTTAGTTTAAAAATGGGCAAAGGATTAGAATGGACATTGCTTTAAAGATGTCCACATGTGTGATGAACAGATGAATAGATACTCAGCTTCATTAGTCATTCAAGGAATTAATTACAAATGGAGGCCACAGTGAAAGGCAGGGTTGTAGCTTTGTGGCAAAGCTTAGGCAGGAGGCCTGAGGCCTCTGGCATTGATAAAATGACATAGTATATTTCATCCATTAAGGATTTGTATGCATATATGTATGTATGTAATGTATATATGCATATAACACCAATTAATGGAAAAAGAAGCCATGAATTTGAAAGAGAGCAAGGAGAGCTTGGAGGTAGAAAAGAAAATAAGGAAATGATGTAATCATATTATAATCTCAATAAATAATAAAATAATTAAAAGAAAAAAGTAAGTTTTGGCAGAGAATCTTATAAATTAAATAAGTTAAAACAAAGTATAAGAACAATGTACATGAAATGAAAATATTTTGAAGTATTTATTTCCTAAAAATTTTAGTTCTTGAAAAAATAGCTGTTTTAATTTAAAATAAACAAGATAGAAAATAAGTATTAACAAGAATACAAAGATATTTGAACATTCAAACACTGCTGGTGGAAATGTAAAATGATGCAGTCACTATGGAAAAATAAAAGCTTGGCATTTCTCAAATGATTAAACAGAGTTATCATATGAGCAATAAACACACACACACACACACACACACACACACACACACACACAAACACACATATAAACACACATCCAGGAGAATTAAAAATCTGTCCACACACATAACAACAGACACGGAGGAAATCCAGAGAATCATCAGGTCATACTTCGAAAACCTGCATTCCTAAAATTCGAAAATCTAAAAGAAATGGACAGAAATGGACAGATTTCACTTACCAAAATTAAATCAAGAACAGATAAGCA